TTTTTTTTCATTCCAAGCTTGATAGCATATTACCAAATTCTTTATTTCGCCACGTATAGATTCGTCAACCATAACTCCAAAAACTGGTGCTTGCTTTATTTGAGAAATTTGTGTTGTATTATAAAAATTAGAGACATCATGGTGCTATGTATTAAGCGTTGAAGCTGATATCCAGTTTCGAGGAGGTTTGCCAATCAAGAATTCATAAATAATTCTTGTATATTTGATTGTAGATCTCATTAATATATTTCTTACTTGTGAAATAGTATTGGCAAGCCAAATAGTATTAGACGAATATTCATACTTATTAATTTTAAAGAGTGATTTAATTTTGTTTTTGAATACAATATCTGTCATTGTTTGCGAACTTCGAACCAAAGAACGGATCTCTGAAATATGATGTAACTTTTGATTATGTAAAATTTTTTTCTGTGCTCCAAGTGATTGTGTTTTTCTAATCAATTTTTTAGTTTAGCGAGATAGCTTTTTATTCTCTAATATCAATTTATTATTTGTATCTCGTAAGGATTCATTTGATGAATGGGATTTATAAAGACTATCAGTAATATAACTATGTGCCTTTTTCTGAAGATGAAGTAATAAAAGTTTGCCTTTATTAGACTCTCTAGGATAATACATAATTGTAAAGAGATAATTTGCCACATGTATCTCTTTACTAGATAGCTACTGAATTAAAAGGTCTAGCTTGGTTTTTTGATATTTTTCTTTTGAAATTTCATCGCCATGTGAAAATTCTCGTTCTTTATTAATAGATTCAAGTTCACCATCGCCATATGAAATTTCTTGTTCTTTCATTAATATTTTATAAATGTTATCAAGTTGTTCTTGGTTCAAATTGGATAATAGAGCTTTAATTTCTGTAATATTCTTATTGTGAGAGATAGCTTGACATTTTTTTACACTTTTTTGTGCTGCTTGTCTAGCTTGAAAATGTTACTTATATGATTTGTAAATTCTCATTTTGGTAAATTTACTAATTTTTTCTAAATTTAAATGTAGTGATCCAAATTTGTCTTGTTTTAAGGTAACCAAATCTAGTAAAATTAATAATTACTTTAGAAGAACAAAGTTACATTAAAAAAAATCATGTTTAAAGCAATAACTTTACTGGCTGGCAAGATACTTCTTTTTTTTCAATAGTGCGCAGTATAAAGTAGATTTTTAATGAAGTGTTGGTTTGAAATTTAAATATTGGTATAAGAAACTTTTAACATAACTTTGTTATAAATATGTTTAAGTATGGTTTTATGCTAAAAGAATTAAAGTAAATTATATAATTCTGTCATTGCATCTAAAAATATTCGTATCATTTTTTACTATTTAAAACTTATATTAAAATGATAAACTGCCCTGATCACTGTCTCAATCATTAAATTCACAAAAAATCTATTGCTAATAATTTTATTAATGATTCACACATATTTTTGATTTACATAGACCGCAGAACACCCCAATAGTACATGGTATACCAAATTAAAATTTTCTAAAAATATAATAAAATTTTAAGCTATTAACCAATCAGAATTTAGTATTTTGTCTCAAATTTGGCTACTTTTAAAAAGTTGTTAGTTTAAGAATATCTATACTGTATAAAGATAGCAATGTAAAATTAATCAATTAAAAATATTAACTAAGCAATATAATAGATATTATACAAATATTTGAATTGTATATACAAAAAAGATATTTAATTTATTAATTTTATTAATTCAAAATTAATTTAGGCACTTTTATAAGTTTGTAATTATTGAGTTAAATGAATAAATCTTAAAAATATTTGGATTTTGGTATTATATAACTAAAAAATTTCAACAAATTTTTGTTAATTATTTATATTTTAGCTAATTAATATCTATAAATTAATACTAATAAATTTAATAGCTATTTGTAATAGTAATTATCTAAGTAATTAGTTATATTTTATCAATTACTAAATAAATTTTGAAAAGTACTTGAGATATAATTCAAGCAAATCATTTTTATTTTATTTTTTTTTAATATTAAAGTGACCTCATAGTCGATAGCTTTATTGGTTTTATGTCCTAAGCTGATCATAGTCAGCTGCTACTCATTTGGTATATGATTTTGGAGAATACAACTAGCTACATATACAACTTTTGATTGTCTATTTAAGTAGTCTGCCCAAAAGTTTTACACTAAATATCTCTCCTCTACTAAAGTACAAATGTCTGTTACGGTCATAAAAAATAGTTATTTTTTTTTTAAAAAAATAACCATTTTAGCATGACAAAGGATCCTGAATGAGGGATCTTTTCCGGGATCTCTGTTAAATTTTAAATTTAACAGAGTTCCCTATATAACCCAGACCAACTTTAATTTATATATGTACATAAATATATACATATGTATATTTAAAAAAAAAGAAGATCTGAGTTAAATTTTAAATTTAACAAAGATCCCAGATATTATCTGGCCCAACATTAAACCAAATATATATATATGTATATATTTATATACGTATATATAAAAATAAAAAAAAATTCAAAAATGTGATAATCGATTGGTTGCTGATCAAAATTTTGTACTACAATAGTTTACAAAACTTTGATCGATGATATCTTGACAACCAATCGATCAATTTTGATGAAAAATTTTTTATCCAAATTCTACGGATAAGTAGAATTCAAATAAAAAAAAAATTCATCGAAATTGATCGATTGGTTGTCAAGATATCATTGATCAAAGTTTAAGAAGAATTTTAACCCAAATA